AACCCCGACGCTCTTCGAGCACGAGTTCGCACTCACAGATCGTGTTGCACTCGTCACAGGCGGAAACCGCGGTATCGGACTCGAAATGGCGATGGCGCTCGCCGAAGCGGGTGCGCGAGCCGTGTATTGCGTTGACCTCCCCAAAGAGCCTGGAGAGGAATTCGTGAAGACGAGGGCGTATCTCGGTAAGATAGGGGGCAAAAATGGCGAAGGGCGGTTGGAGTACATTAGCGCGGACGTGACAGACCAGGTGGGTGTGCCATTGAATTTTGAACGACATGCGATTGATGTGGGTAACACCTGCGCATGGTCGTAGGAAGCGATGTGGAAGCTGGGAGAAACGGTTGGGAATCGAGAGGGAAGGATGGACGTGTGTGTTGCGGCTGCGGGTATCCTCCGGGGAGACACACCTTGCTTGACCTACCCCGAGAAGCAGTTTAACGACGTAAGTGCCTATTCTTGCGAGTCTGTTGTTCAAATTTGACACGATTGCAGGTCATAGCCGTCAACGTCAATGGTGTGTTATTTACTGCGCAGGCTGCGGGACAGCAGATGGCCAAATTCGACAACGGCGGGAGCATTATCATGATCGGTAGCATCAGCGGGAGCGGCGCGAACCAGGTGCGTCCCAGTGTCCCCCTGATCGGAATGTTTACAATGGGCACTTACCACGGGCCCTAGGGTCATCCATGGGTGTCGTACAATACATCAAAGTCTGCCGTGCTGCAAATGGCACGCAGCATGGCGTGCGAGCTTGCTCCCAAGGGCATCCGTGTAAACACGATTAGCCCGGGGTACATCAATACCAGGTCCGTAACTCACTTTCGATCTACCTTGAAATTGCATTAATCCACTTCGGTATGCGTAGCATGACGCACCAGTTCTTGGAGAAGAAGCCGGAATTGCTGAAGCGATGGGAGAACAACAACCCAATGGGCCGAATTGGGCGGCCAGACGAGTTGCGCGGAGTGGCAGTATGGCTGGCGAGCGACGCCAGTACGTTCTGCACAGGTAGCGAGTAAGTGCTTCGGTAGTGGGGCATATAACACATCGAACCGTACCACTAACCTATAGATATCAGCATTCTTGTAAGCGGTGGTCATCACGCGTGGTGAACGAGAGAGATCCGGTGGCGAGACAAGACCTTGGGACGCACCAAGTGGATGCAGGTCGAGTAGAATCTACGTTAATGACATTCCAACTTGAAGGGGTATTATCTCTCATCTGACAGCGGTAACCTTTGAGAGAGATGCCTAAGATGCGTGAGGATTGAACAGTAGAAAACAGTACTAATCAGGGCCGAGTCAAGCGCATGCCATTCGGCGTTACCAGGCTGCATGTATCCTTTCATTTATGTAGCTTCAGAAATTCTCGACTGACCATAGTCCCAGAGCCTTCTCCAAGGGGTTACATACGCCGAATAGCAACTGGGAGTAATAAGTTCGCCGAGTAACGTCACTTCGAATAGTTAGCAATTTTTTTTTTTTTTTGGTGGAGCGCTGTACCAGAGTACATGCCTAGTTGGCAAATTTGGTAGGCGACTACTACTGCCATTGTGTGAATGATTTAGCGACTATCCCGTGCAATCGACGTCGGGGCACTCCCTATGATACTCAATCTGGCAAGGTTCACATCACTAACAGGCATCCAACACAGTTCACTAAGTGTCCTCCATGTAAAGCCACAATTTCGAAACGGACGGCAATCCCAACGTTAACGGATGCACATCTGGAGGATTAATCCACAACGTCATCCTACTCCGATATGAATTTATAAACAATATCATAAGAAAATAGCACGCACCTCATCATGTACACCATGATAATACTAGTACTGGGGTAGCACGAGCGATGACTCGGGCACAACCGTGAAACCAAAGTGTTCGGACTTGAATCCGGCTTCCTGACGGCGATCAGGGTCCTCAATGAGTTCGTTAGCGGCCTTAACGAAATTCTCGAGGACTAGGCAATCGACGTCAGAAGCATCGTCATCCTGCTGTTGTTCGGAGCGCTTTCCGGTGGGGATAAAGATCACTGTACGGTTGTACTTTCCAAGGATACGGTGATTGCACACCAGTACCACTCCTGTAGGATGTTTAGCCGTTGCGTTATATACCGGAACTATGATAAAACTTGCCGTGAAGAAGTATCATCGAGTTTTTGGCTTCCTCTGTTCCGTAATGTTTTATGACATATGGGAAGAAGCTGTACATGGAGGCTTGCACAAGTGAAGTCTCCAGTCGTCGTCTACGACGCCAGAGATAGTGAAGCTTTTCGGGCGGATGCTTATGTTCATCTTCCGGAAGTGGTGTTTCTGGGATGCTAATACTCTCGGCGATACCAAAGCCAACTTTGAAATAGTGGTGGAGCGCGGATAGATCAAGAAACCAGCCACTCCAATAGTTGGAAGGCTTTGCGGACATGGTGGCCTCCTTAGTATTTGTTACGGTTGCTGTCCAGCGTGTACGATAGCGATCGCGAGAGTCAGACGACGAGTTGTATCCGGCCCCGTTAAGTTGTATACTTACGTCAGTTACTCCTGTTTTGTATCCGTGAGAATATGTACACCCTCGAGCTTGGGCTTCGCGAGCTGGTATATTCTTCCCCCATCCTCTTTCGGCGTGGTCCCGACGCCGACCGTATCAGTATTGAGGACGACGGCGCTATCGGAGCGGTGCTGGAGTGCTCTATACGGTACACGTGAATGGTGACTGCGTGATGAGAAAGCAAATGTGTGAGGAGACAAGACCTAGGGGACCCAAAGAATTCCGTCGATTCAGGTGGAGCAGAATTAACGTTAATGACATTGCAAGGGGAATCCTCTCTCATTTGACAATGGTGATCTTTGCGAGAGACGCCTAAGATGCGTGAGTATTGACCCGGTAGATCAGGACGAATAGCAATAGTACTCTAATACGGGAGGCACTTCGAGTGCAAGCCGTTCGACGTTACCAGGCTGCATGTATCCTTTCATTCACGTAGCTTCAGGTAGTGTCGACCGACCATAGTGCCAAAGCCTTCTCCAAGTGGGTACATATGCCGAATAGCAGTTGGGAGCAATAAGCTCACCGAGCAACGTCACTTCGAGCGGTTAGCAAATCTGGTAGGTGACTACTGCCGTTGTATGGATGATTTGGTGATTATCCCGTGCAATCAACGTCGGGGCACTCCCTATGGCACTGAATTTGACAAAATAAACATCACTAATAGGCATACGACACAGTTCAACTCCAAGTATCCTCCACGTAAAGCCGCAATTTCGAAACGGAAGGCAATCCCAATGGATGCACATTTGGAGGTACGGTGGATTAGTCCACAGCGTTATCCTACTCTGATTTGAGTATGTAAACAACGTCGTAAGACGATCGCACGCACCTTATCATGTACGCCATGATCGTAGTAGTACTGGGGTAGCACGAGCGATGACTCGGGCACAACCGTGAAACCAAAGTGTTTGGACTTGAATCCGGCTTCCTGACGGCGGTCAGGGTCCTCAATGAGTTCGTTAGCGGTCCTAACGAAATTTTTGAGAACCAGGCAATCGACGTCAGAAGCATCGTCATCCTTCTTTTGTTCGGAGCGCTCTCCGGTGGGGACGAAGATCACTGTACGGTTGTACTTTCCAAGGATACGGTGATTGCACACCAGTACTACTCCTACAAGGCGTTTAGCCGTTGCTTCAGATACCGGAACTATGATTAAACTTGCCGTGAAGAAGTATTATCGATTTTTTGGTTTCCTTTGTTCCGTGATATTTTACGACCTGAGGGAAGAAGTTGTGTATTGAGCCTTGCACAAGTAAGTCCTCGAGGCGTTGTCTGTGATGCCAGAGATAGCAGAGCCTGTCTCGCGTATGTTTATGTTCATCTTCCGGAAGAGGTGTTTCTGGAATGCTGATATATTCGGCAATGCCAAAGCCAACTTTGAAATAGTGGTGGAGGGCGGATAGATCAAGAAACCAGCCACTCCAATAATTTGAAGGCTTTGCAGCCATGATGGGTTTCTTAGTATGGGGGGCGGTGGCGCTATCGGAGCGACGCTGGAGTACTGATGTTCTGCAAAACGGTGGAATTGTTGAACGACTTCGGCTCGCCACACTGGACACTTGGTGTGGGAAAGTCCCGACGCCCGCCGCCAGGCCATATGAGACTTGCGCTTTCACCTGCACTGTCCAATTGTGGTCCCGGCTGGCGCAGTAACAGCAGGTTGACGGAATTCTAGAGTCCGGAATGGTAGAGCAGGATGTATTACATGCTGGGACTAGTACGGCTTTAGGTTCTACTCACCAGAACTCGACTTACTTCTCAGTAGTTTGCAATCGTCTCGCCAATGGGACGCACATCATCCGAAGTAGGCGGGAGCGATCACTCTCTAACGCGACTCCGGTGTGCCGCATGCGACTCATCGTGCTGGGGTGCACCGTATGGCGTCGGGCCATCCGAGTCGTGGGGAGGATCCCGCAGCTTCAAAGGTAACCAGCGACGTAGTACGTACTCCTTCCACAGAGTGCGTTTGTACCTGCGGCGCAAGTTATATTGTGCAGATACATACGTCTCCTTCTGCCGTCTGGTTGGGTCATCCCGACCTGATCTAATTCGGGAGGCACTGGCGGACGACTTCGAGCCTCTTGATGTCGGCGAAGCTGGTGCTTGCGAAGTATTGAGTCCGGACGTCTCGATAAAACCCGACATGGGTATTGGGTTTGTGACGTCTCTGCCGTTGGAGCCCGAGGCCCTGTGGCATACGAGCTGTCGAGACCCATACTTTGGGGGGATATCAAAGAACACCGGCCGACTGAATGAAGTCGAGGATGAACCTCGTCCGAGCTCGTTGAAGGCGCCGGGTCGGAACAAGCGCCGATGCGACCGTACGAAATTCTGCAGCTCTGAATACCGGGATATAATACTACGCAGACGGCTCCGGTTTTTCAAAATCAAAGCATGAAGGCATGGGCGTAGCAATCTCAGTGAGTGGAGACAGATGGAATCAGAGAAAAAAATAGGGCCTAACTGGGAATTGAACCCAGGACCACTCGCAATCGGTCAACACCCAAAGCGAGTATCATACTTCTAGACCATTAGGCCTTGACAGGGCTCATCACCAAAATGTATATAGTTAGATGCGTTAGTTGTTACAGATAGACCTTGCGTTTAGCATTTCTTTCCATCGCATTACATGCTGTCAGAATCGTAGTATACAACAGCAGAATTCGTCCAAGACTAAACCAAACCTACAGCCTGATCCCCCATTCAACCTACTCAAACGCTCATTTTCATCGCTATGGTCGGATGCGGGTCGTACCCCTCGACGACAAAGTCCTCACTCGTGAACTCATCGATGCTCTCCACCTTCCGCGGCCACCTGATCTTCGGGAACGGACGCGGTGTGCGTGCGAGCTGGGTGTGGAGCGCGTCGACGTGGTCGCGATAGACGTGCGCGTCCCCGAGCTGAATCACGAGCTCATGCGCGATAGTGTCGGTGACGTGCGCGACCATGTGTGTGAGTAGCGCGTACGAGGCGATATTGAATGGGATTCCGAGCCCAAGGTCGGCGGAGCGTTGGTACATGAGGCAGGAGAGACGGGGCCGCGCGGTGGGGTCGCCCGCTGGGGGAAGGTGGACGTAGAATTGGCACATCATGTGGCAGGGCGGTAGGGCCATCTGGGGGATATCTGCGTTATAGGCCGGTGAGTAACGAGGCGGGGGAGACGAGAAGAGAATGCGAGCATACCCGCGGGGTTCCATGCGCTGAGGATGATGCGACGGTCTGTAGGGTCGTGCTTGATTTTGCGGATGCACTCCTGGAGCTGGTCGACGCCCTTGCCGGAGTAGTCGGCGTCGCAGTCCTCGTACTGCGCGCCAAAGTGCCGCCACTGGAAGCCATAGACAGGGCCGAGGTCGCCCTCGCGGCGGTGTCCGAGGCCGCGCTTTTCAAGGAAGTCTTTGGAGCCGTTCCCGTCCCAGATCTTGACGCCTTTGGCGGAGAGCTGTTTGGAGTCCGTGCAGCCGTGCACAAACCAGATGAGCTCCTCGACGATGCCGCGGAGGAAGGTGCGCTTGGTGGTGAGGAGGGGGAGGGTGTCGTCCTCGAGGGAGAAGCGGAGGTTGGGGGGCGCGAAGAGGGAGAGGGTGCCGGTGCCAGTGCGGTCTGGACGGACGGCGCCAGTGTCGAGGACGGTGCGGATGAGGTCGAGATACTGCTGCTCGTCGTGCGGACGCGTCGGGGGCGGGGCGGCGGCCATCGCGGTCGGAGAGGAGCACGCGTTGTCGGCGCGCGTTGGCGCGTCGTCCTGGGGGAACGAGCACGGTCACGTGGGGATGCGCGTGGTGAGGCACATGGTTTGTCTCGCAGCCACGCCTCCCTCTCTCTCTTCCTCCTCCTCCTGCGCTCTGCTCCTCGTTCACCCCTTGCTCGCTGTTCTCTACGCCGACCGACATGCCGCCCGCAACAAAGACACGGAATACCTCCGCCCGCGCTACACGCGCTGCCTCGTCCTCAAAGTCTGCCAAACCATCGCCCGCGGTCTCGCCCGACGACCTCGCAGACAAACTAGCCTCCAAACTCTCCATCTCTGATCCAAAGGGAAAGGCCAAGGCGACGGATGTGACACCTGCGCAGCGCAAGGCAGACGCTATGCGCGCTGCCAATGCTGCCTCCAAGAGCCTCTCCGCCATCGCAGAGTCGGGCTGGAAGGCCTCCCAGTCAAAGTCCGACAAGTCTACCTCCGCCTCTGCTGTCAAGCATGCCACCACCGCCCGCAAGGAGCTTTCAACGCTCCGCAAACTGAGCCCTGGGGAGGTCGACGTCGAGCGCGCTGCGTCCAGTATAGTTGCGAAACTCATAGCTCTCGAAATGGTTTGTCCTTTCTCTATTCCGTATACCGTTGCCTCACGCGCCCCTAAAGTACCATGCCGCGTCGGGCATCCTGCAAGACATGCGTGTCGCACTTGTGTCTCTATACTGTTCCAACGCGCCATCTACTGCATCGTCCTCAACGAAAGACCTACTCTCCTTGCCTCTGCACGACGACCCTCTCTCCGAACTCCATCTAACTCTCATCTCATCATATCTCTTGCACACCTTTACCATCGCTCTACACACATCTACCGACCTCCATGCTCTCCTCGCTGTCCTTCGTGACCCCACCTCGCCCTCACTCCTCGCGTGGGCACCCGCTCTCTTGAGCCTACCAGAGAAGCAGCACGATCACCTCTTTACTCGAGCATACACCATCGCCTCCCGTTTTGCGTCGTCCCCTGGAGCTACTGCCGCACATGCCTACTTGTTGCGCGTATACTCTTTGCTTTGTCTCGCACATACTCGCCCTTCTGTCATCGCGCCCAATACCTTCTGGGACCAGGCTATCAAGTTCACCGCCGCCTATGCCAACGCTGACCCCGTGAAGCCAGCGGAAGGGGTTAAAACGGTCCTAGTGGAGTCCGCACGCCTTGTCGAGTGCGCAGAGAAGCGTAACGACCGTGTTGAGTTCATGTCCGGGGTGGCGTTTGCCCGATTCTGCGAATATTGGAGTAGATTCGCCAAGCAGGTGCGTTAGGGGAGCTTTAAAGATACGGTTTTAGGCCGTTTATACAGGATTGTCCAGGCTGGTGACCTGCGTACACTAGAGCAAATTAGCAGATACACCAAACGTTCTGACGGAGCTAGCGACACAACCTCAGACAAAGACCGCGCGGCCATTGAGATGTCTGCCCTGTCTACTACGCTAGCCCGTGCACTCACCGTCCTCGAGGCGTGGTCAGGTACTTTGGTCCTTCGCGCACCAGAAAGAACGACCTCGAGCTCATCCCACCCTCTCTTACAGACCACTCCGCCGACATCGCTGAGAAGCTGAAAGACGTGTCGAGTGCGCTCAGACGTTGCGGCCCCTCGTTCGTCCAAGCTGGTGATGAGCACGACCGTATTAAGCGGGGCGTCGAGAGGCTCCGGCGCATGGCCATCAAGATTATCGAGCCTACTAAGGGCGTGGATCCTCCACCTTCGGCTGTACGCGCGTGTGCTCGCGACGTCCTGGAGCAGATCGTTGATCTGCTCTGCGAGAGGGTGAGCTGACCCCGCAGACCCTGGCGTGCTGGAAACTCATCATACCCATAGAGAGATACGTACACATCTACAACCGTCACTGGCGGTGTCGAAAGTCTCTTCACGCTCGCCCGTGCGGCGTTTACGCTCAATAACCCAGACACGTACGCCACCGCGCGCACGTACGTCGAGCGCGCCGCCGTGCTCGTCTCACATGCCGCCTCTTCCGTCGCAACTCCTACATTGTCCCCCGCGCAGCTTGCGAACTACACGCGTTGCGTCGCTGGCACACATTACAGCTTTGCGCTGCAGCTGCATCAGGGCGCGCGCCTCGCCCACGCAGTGCCGTTCCTCGAACGCGCGTGTGGCCTTGCGGAGGACGCGCTCGCAGCTCATCGCGCCGCGGCGGGGGCGGAAGGCAACGGGGAAGGAGAGGACGCGATAGGTGAGGCGTGGCGGCTGCTGGAGGAGCAGCTGTATCGCCGGTGGGAGCTGCTCGGTGTGTGCCATGTCAAGACGGGCGACCGGCAGCATGCATACGACGCGTTCGTGCGGAGCGTCAAGGCGTTCCCCTACGCGCGTTATGATGTTGTTGCGCGTGCGACATCGTCCACGGTCCGTGCTCTGTTCGATGCCGAGAGCGAGGGCGCAGCGTCGCTCAAGCACCTTGGCACGCTGGTGGACCGGGTCACGTATATGGCCGCGTGCGAGTTGTTCCATGCCCCAGCAGAGGTGCCCGTCGCGGCGTGGGCGGACTTTCCAGACGTTGGGGCTGGGGCTAGCACCGATGCGGAACGTGGAAGGGCCCAAGCGAGTGTGGTGGGTGCACTGATGGAACGCCAGCTCGCGGGGTTGGAGGAGTGTAGGTATAAGCAGGGAGTACGAGAGGTGTTACACGCACTCGCGGATGGCGCACAGCGAGTGTACGAGGATGCGGGGCTGCCGGTGCGTAGTTCACGGGTGTCGGTGAAGAAGCTGGAGATGCTGTATTACGTCGAGGGTGGGGAGGGTCAGTATGTTGATGCAAAACAGCTGGCGGGGCGGATACAGGATCTCTTGTCGGACGCGGTACGTCGTTCGTTATCCCTTGAGGTTGAGGCCGTACTAACTACTGACGCAGAACACGGCACACGACGCGTCTCTAGCGCGGTTTGCGTCTGAGCTCCGCGCAACGACGCACCTCTGGCTCGCCGCACACGCGCACAAAGCTCGCACACCTACGCTTGCCTCTGCCGTCGTCGCGCATGCCGAAGATGCGTGCCGGGTCCTCAAGGCTATGGTTCCCGCCACGGCGCCGAGAGCATCGCTAGGTGTGGGTAAGTCGCCAGAGGTGGAGAAAGGGGTGAGGAGGACCGGGAGGACGGGGAGGGGTGCGGTGGCGACGAGGACAACTGTTGGCGAACCGGCGAAGGGGCGGACGGGGGTTACAAGGACGAGGGCGGCGAAGACGGCGACTGTTGCGCCGCCGGTGACACCTAAGAGGCGGAGAGGTACGTTTTGTTAGGGCATCTACGTGCTGTGGGCTGACAACACGTTTGGTGATGTAGCGTTGGACCCTGTCTCGTTGAACACGGCGTCGGGCCCTTCGCCGAAGGCCGGCACGACCGCGGTTACCCAGGGGAAGATGGAGTTTGACAATTTCGACGGGCTCATTAAGCTGATTCGTAGGTGTCATTTCATTGCGGTGTGAGGTTGTCAGAAGGCTCACCAGGGATGCCGCAGGCATGGTCTCTCACTTGGTCGGATTGGTGGGGCACGTCCTGACTCGCGTTCAGCTGCTCAACGCCGCTCGCCGGCTGACCGAGCGGCACACCGGAGTCGCGTCGGAAGGTGAGTGCACCCAACTGCATGCTGGAGTGCGTTGTCGCTGATAATTTTCTAGTGTATGTTTCGTTGACGATCGACACCGCCCACGAATACGTCAAACTCGGAAGGGCTGAGAAGGCCGTGTCGGTTCTCGCGCATGTGCTTCCTGCTATACGGAGCGGTACGCTCTCCCAGGAAGTGACCATCCTGTTTTTATTGCGCTATGCCGAAGCGCAGG